TTAAAATGATCCTAACACTAAAGTGTTAAACTGGAATGGTTGACAACATATACAGGATGTCAGTGTACATGTTGAGGTGTTGGGGGAAAATGCAATATTGCTCCAAGTTTATTTCATTTTCCTTTCTAAAAAGTACCCCACAAAAGGGATTCTGATTAGCTCTCTGCCACTTCCCTCCGTCTGTGAGATAATACTTGGTATAACCACACCCCAAAACAGATGTTCTGTATTACCAGGAGAATCAAATTCAAAGTTACCTAAAGCCGAAATAAGTTGAGATTTCAAAATCATTCCAGCTCTGCTTTTAACTATCCTGGATTTGTTAGAAAACTAATTTGAAAGAGAATTTAATTTTCTTAAAATTCCATATATATCTATATAGTATGAGCTGTCTTTATTTGTGTTCAGAATTAGTTTTAACAACTGATTTGGACCATTTTGAACATTCCCTGTTTTGAAATTCACACGGCTTCCTTTCAGAAAGGATCTAAGGGTAATTGGTGAAAGGTTTGCTCTCTGCATTTTCTAACTTTCTGAGTTGTGACTGAATGAGAGAGCTCTAGCGTTTACCAGTGAGGTTCATAAACTCAACTCTCAGGAATTTACTGCATCTGTTCTAGAAGCGCTTCTGGGTCTTAGCCTGGCCTCTTCAGAGTGGTAATGCTGACCGTCTCCTCTGGAATAGAGGTCAGGCTAATTAGAAATTAATCAAAATGATTAAACTACAGTCCTTCAACTTATGGAATGCTTTAAAAAATGTCAATGGAAAGCCCCAGGAGACCATTTTAGGTAAGATTTTTGTTTGAATTTTAAAATGCATAGAACATTAAAAACCAGCAGTTTATTTTCTAAAATAATGCTCTACTTTTGGGAATACTAGCATTGGTAATACGCACAGGTTTACCTCATTCTATGCAAGAAGGGTTAATAACGTAAGGCTTTGTAGTTGCTACTGGAAGTAAAATTTGTTACTTTATAATGTAAGAATGTATGGAATCGCATGTCAACATTTCTTAATACTGACTCTTTAGGGGCATAAACGCAGATCATATCAACGCCAAGTTGATTCTCATGTGTCAAATATATGTGAACTCAGCTGTTAAATTACTGGATATTTATCTTAAACAACATTACTGAGAGGGACCTACTGTAAATGTGACATCCTCACACTTCCCAAATCTTTAACTTTTAAAGATCTTCCCATAAACTTAAAGCCTAGAAGACTTCCAAAGCAAGAGTTACAACAGTCTTTATTCTCAGACTCAGTGAATTAAACCCAGGACTCTGATTTCATGGTATGGGCACAAGAAGCCAGTTGTATGGCGTGCTCTACCAGTACCTTGGGCCGAGAGGCTCCATAGAGAACTGAGTAAGTCAGGAGGGATTTGATTTGGAGCCTGGTAATTAGTTCTGTGAAATGCTCATTTGTTTATAAGCTTCCAGTTCTAGAGCAAAACCAGGCTCTGAGTATTTTTTAATTTCCCGCCTATTCATGAAGGTGTTTCTTGTCTTGATCCCATCACCAACAGTTAAAGGTTGGTAAGGACTTTCTACAGTCTAAATGCAATCTGAAGCCCTAGTCATTGTTCAGACTCTGACTCCTCCTGCCAGTGAACAGAAAATAAGTCAGTGCAGAGGAGATTTATGTATTAGCCATAACTCCAGTTGTACAACTCAATAGCCCCATTATCTTTTACGGTTCAAAATGTACTGCTGACCTTGGGTTTGTTTTTGTTTTTGTTTTTTCCTGGTAGGATTATTTGGGGCTTTTGGTAGTTTAAACTCTCTAACCTTTTCTTTGCTGTGTATGAGGAAAGCTAAAGCTGTTATCAACTTCTTATTCTACGGATACTAACACGGGTTTTCAGTGTTTGTTTGTTTTTATTATTATTAATTTTGCGTGATGTGAATACCCTCTCCCATCAATATTTGTATTATGGTGCTATATATTTGGTAATGATTCTTTACTATTGGGAAGGGATTTTAAAAATACTGTGATTAAACTGGGTTTCTTCCTTTGATTTTCATATTTTAAATAAAGCCACAGTCATTTATACAAAAGAAAAGCATCTGTCCCTGGGCAAATCTTTTGAGGACAGAGGTCAAAGTAAACTGCATAAGGTTTTTACATCATTTCTGTATGTATTTGATATATAGACCAATATCTGTACAAATTTAATCTTTTATTTTCTTGGTAACTTGTGATCATTGAGAAAGTATTTGAAACTTTCTCAGGAAGTGTATATAATGGCGTGAAAAATTCTTCAGAGAAATTTATGTTCCTTTCATTTTTACCAAATTGCAGATTTTCAGCATGGATGTGAAAGCATTAAAATTATAACTTTGTGTACAAGATGAAAATAATTCACTAAATTTGCCCTTTTTTACACAAAATAAAATGTTAAAGTTAAGTTGTATTTGAGCAATTCTTTACTACGCCTTGGTCTTTGAAAGGTTTCCTTCCCTTATTGAAGCTGCCGAGCGCCTTCTGTAAGCAGCCGGGCCCCTGGGAAGGTCAGGTGCGCCCCTGTGAGCCGGGCAGCAGGTGAGGCGCGTCCTGCTGGCCGAGTGGACCGAGGACCTGGGACCAGGGCGGGAGGGGGCGGCGAGACCGCGTCTGAGCTGGGCTGTCGGCTGCAGCTGGGCAGTGGTGAGTGCGAGCCTCTTGGGGGATTTACTTTTGTTTGTTGTGTTTTAAATCCTCGTCTGAGAATGTTTTTTATTTAAGAGAGAGAAGGGGGGGGAGACGATCACTTGATCAGTTGCCCCCTGTACACACCCCAACTCGGGACTGGACACCCGGGATCACACCCACAACCTGGGCACTGCCCCAATACAGGAATCGAGCGGGGACCTGTAGGTGTAGGGAGCGGCGTTCCGACCGACTGAGCCAAGCCTGCCAGTGCTGGTTTTTTGTTTTAATTTTTTTTTTTAATTTTTAACATTTTAATACAGATCAGGGTGTCTGGTTCATTTCAGCTCCTTCACTGCCAAACCTGGAGGTAGGGACGGCTTCAGTTTCTCTGCCTTCTCTTTGTGATGACCAAGATATAAAGCTGTCTGCTGCCTCGGACTTTAAACTTCTCATTATCTTTATTTTTCTTGATACTGACAGATTAGGCATCCTTTCGCCTGGCTGTGAGCAGGAAGTTCTTGACTTCCTCAATTTTGCAGCGAGGTGCAGAGACTGCGTGGCAGCACCTCGGATTACTCCCCCTTCCCTGGGTACCACCCAAGAGGCCAAGGGGTATTTAAATAACCGTAGCTGGAACGTGGTGTTTTGGGGTTGGCTTGCTTGCTAGGAAACTTTTTTTTTCAAGCTCTGTTAACCTCTTAAGCAAAGCCCAAAGGAAGTAAATAAATTGTCCCAGCCAGCTGGTGCTGTTTACATTAAGAGGGAATGGAAAGACCTCTCCTCTAATGACCAACTCTTTAGAAAATTATTCAACTTCTGCAAAAGCAGTTTGTAGAGAATTTCATGGATGTAAGACAGTAATGAGATGGACTGGGTCTCTTCCGGGGTTAATTTCATCCCACTTTAGAAAAATGTAATGCATTCCAAGAAAAACAGATGTAGAACCCAGTTTCTGCCCATTTCCTACCTTAAATGGTCTCAACAGTTGCCCTCATAAGTTGGAATTCCCTAATAAGTTGGCTCTCATTTACTATCCCATGAGCTTTGAGATTATATATATATAATTTTTTTTTTTTTTTAGAGAGAGGAAAGGAGAGGGAAAAAGAAACATCTATATCTGCTGCCTCCTGCATATACCACCTACCAGGGATCGAGCCTGCAACTGGGGAATGTGCCCTGATCTGGAATCAGACCAGCAACCCTTCAGTGCACTGGACAATGCCCTGCCAGCTGAGCCACACTGGTCAGGGCTAACCTTAACTGACTTGAAACAAGAATCTTGACATTTTTTATACCAAGCAGTCAGTGATTTTGTCATTGTCGTATGTAGCAGTATGCGTTAAAAGTGTAACACTGAGCCCAGCCAGTGTGGCTCAGCAGCTGAGCATCAACCCATGAACCAGGTCACAGTTTGATTCCCAGTCAGGGCACATGCCTGGGTTCAGGCTCAAACCTGGGTAGGGGGCGTGCAGGGGGCAGCCAGTCATTGACTCTCTCATCATTGATGTTTCTCTCTCCCTTTCCCTCTCTCTGAAATCAATAAAGATATATTTTTCTTTAAAGTGTAACACTGAAAAAAACAAAAACCAAAGGAAAAAAGGTGTAATGCTGAGTCTTTCATATGGAAGTGGCATTTAACTTTTCACCAGTTTCCTAAGAGAAAACATGTATTCATAGACCCACATATTTCTATAACCTCCCAATTTTTATGCCAGACTCTGGGTGATCAGTGCCATTTGGCATTTTAACAACTGCTAATCCAGGAAAATTAACATTGAAAACAGAGATGATGTATTTTGTAACCATTCACTGCTCTCGCCCAGGAAACAGGAATGATAAATATTTTACACCAGGGAAGAGAGAAAGCGGTAGGGTTGCACAGAATACTGTGTACCAGCAGGGGGCGAGGCACGAGGACAACTGCATTGCCATGATGCTCTCATTTTACAGATGTCTGTAGGCTTCCATTTCCTCATACATAACTTGCCCAATTTGCAGTCAACAAAAATATACGTCTGGATGACCGTACGTTCCAAGTTTCAACAAATTTTTTATGCAGAAATACATCAGCTACACTTAAAGCAGGAAACTACCCCAAAGTGTATCTACATCAGCTAAAGGGGTTGGGACATTTATTATGTTCATTACTTCCTTATTGGTTTCCTTAGATTTAACACTACCAGTGCCACACGTGGCCCTCTTCAGCCTCACTACTGCCCACCTAGAGTCTTGAAGTACATCGAGGTGCTGAGAAGGATCGTTCTTCCCTAATAAGCAGGATTAATTAGTTCTGGATAATGCTTTTCTAACCAGAAAACTAAGTCACTTCTTCCAGCTTAGTACCAAGTAAGCACAGGAGGCTGCACCCAGTTTCCAAAGGCTTTATTGGTAAATACGCGTTAGAAAAGATGGATCCTATTGCTTCCAAGTTAATGGAATGAACTGTGGAGCCAAAGGGAACCGACTGATGCTTGTCCACCTCTTATTCATAGATCCAGTCAAAAGCACAAGGCTTGTAGTCAACCAGTTCTTCAGGCTTAAACCATAGGCCGATTTCTCTCTCAGCACTTTTGACTGAATCACTGCCATGAATGATGTTCCTAAGAGAGAACAAATACTAGTTACCACATTTTGAAGCGCAAAAGGCTGTTTAATGGATAAAGCAAAGGACAACCACTGCAGACCTTTTCAGCCAGATTTCCACTTAAAGCAGGAAACTACCCCAAAGTATTTCCGCTTAAAAGCAACTATAAAAGTACTTCATCCAAAACACTCCTTGGTTCAACTTTATTATGCTTCCAAGTTTCCCCCCTTTGAAATAGTTGCTAGTGCCCTGGCCGGGTAGCTAAGTTGGTTGGAGCAGCATTCCCATGCGCCAAGGCTGCGGGCTGGATCCCCAGTCGGGGCACATCCAAGAAACAACCAATGAGTGCATAAATAAGTGGGACAACAAACTGAAGTTTCTCTCTCCTTTCTAAAATCAATAAATTTTAAAAAATAAAATAAAAGTGCTCATACCCCAGGAATGCTGTGCCACAAAACATTCCTCCTCTAATTTTGAAAAATACAGGAACAGTCAAACGAACCCAGACCAAAACCTGAACTGGCTGTGATGTATTCATTATCAAGGGCATTTTTCTGCCACATTTTCTTAACACTAATTTGCAAAGCCCAACCAAGATATTCATGCTTATTGGCAATCCCTTTATTCCACTGGAATCTCATAACTAATGTTTTTGTACAGATTTTGTATAGGTAAGGGGCCCAAAAGGTTAAGTGGCAGACCCATGGTCATAGTGCCACAAATAGGAAAACCAAGGCTTAGAACCCGTCCTCTCCTGATACTCTGCACCTTCAACTGTCACATGCAGCTCCCTTGTGCAATGTCTTGGTTAAAATTTGAAGTAGCCTAGGGAAGTAGCTATTTAAAAACGCTTCCATCCGATGATAATTACCACCTAATTTAGAACTTCAAATTCTTCTCAAATTGGGATATGCCAAATAATGTTTCATAAGTGGCCCTCGGGACTTACCTGCCAACTTGAATGCAAAAGTCTCCGCGAATGGTGCCTGGCTTAGAATCTGCTGGATTGGTCTCCCCAAGCATCATTCTCCCCGTCTTCACCACATTCAGCCCCTCCCAGACCTTGTGAGGGGAAAGGACTTGCATCAGGTCTGCCATTCAGAACAAACATTTACCCCTGCCCCGAACAGCACACATCAATCAGACCAATCAGTGACCTGAGTATCAGCTAACCCCAGGAGACAGTAGGGGGCCTAGATAAAATACTCCATCTGGGATACAGGGACAAAGTCTACCCAACTGGGCAACTTCCCAGTCTAGCTGAGAGGAAGACAATGCTGAAGAATCCTCATGCAGCACAAACACCGAGATGGTGATGAGAGGGGAGCGAAAAGTGACGGAACTGGAACAGGATCGGCGGGAAGCGTGTCCCAGAACACTTAGAGCAAGGGACGGCGAAAACTGACAAGAAAGGGGAAAGAGTATTCCAGGGAGAAGCAAAGAAGAAAAGGTCATCCTCACAGAACAGGAGGAAATAGATCTCTCTTCTCAATAATTTCAGTGGCTCCCTACTGTACCCTCTACTTCTAGTCTCTTCACTCCCAATTGGACATTAATGCCACAGGAAGAAATAGACTGCTTTGTTTCTAGCTTGGGGTTACACAGAATGTTCTCTAAGCTCTGATTCCCCTTCCTTTCTCCTCCCAAGCTCCTAGTTGCTCTGTTAACTAAACTCCAGCAGGCTCCATCTGTAAAACAAGGAATTAGCTGGGGGAGTAGCTGGGGAAGACGTCTAAAGAAAATGACACAGTCACTGACCAAGGCCAGTTACTGTCAGTCCTTATTTTCCTTGGTTTCCCTTCCTCCCCCTAAGCACTTACCATGGCCACCACAGGCCCCGAGTTCATGTACTTCACCAGCCCAGGGTAGAAGGGGCGGTCTTTCAGGTCAATGTAGTGCTGCTTCAGGAGGTCCTCAGAGGCCTGCCATTGAAGAGAAGGCACCAGTTGGCAACTAAACAGCAAAAGGCCCAAATATGGCTCCATCCCCTTCTAAGAACCTCCCATTAATATGGTAGCTTCTTTAAAAGTCCAATTTAGTATTTCAGCCCACATTCATAAGGTGTGTCTATTTAAAAAAAAAAAAAAAAATCACCCGGCCAGGCGTGGCTCAGCAGTTAAGCCATCTACCTAGGATCCAGGCGATCAGGGTTTGATTCCCGGTCAGGGCACATGCCCAGGTTGGGGGCTCGATCTCCAGTCGGGGGTGTGCAGGAGGCAGCCGATCAATGACTCTCTGATCATTGATGTTTCTCTCTCTCCCCTTCTCCTTTCCTCTCTCTGAAATCAATATAGTAAATTATATTAAATTCAAAAATCCCATCCAAACCATGAAACTGACCCTATTTTATATCAAAAGATTGTTCTGCTCATGACAACACCCTCATAATGTCAATGACCTTGTGGATGCCACAATCCTTAAGTAGATGGTTTGAGGCTCTAGATCTAGGGAGGTAAGTGCTGGATGCAATTGAAAGAAATATGCCAGATGGAAGGTCCTAGCAGACTCCGCCGGCCCTTCACAATGCCCGCTGAAACATCGTAGATGTTAACGGGGAGCATTCTCCTCTTCACTGATGGGCTTGGTTAAAACGTCAGCACTTAAATACTTATCCCTTAGGGCCAGCTCTGTGCGCCCTAAGTTTAACGTGGAAAACACCGTCACTGCCCTACGCCAAAGGGAGCCTGCAGAGAAAGGGCCGAGGAGGGGACAGCCCACCTAAAAGCTCAATCATCTCAGCTGCCAGCGAAAACAAGAGGGTCCCAAGCCTCCCATCTGGGCTCGGGTGGGCCCACGTGCGCCAGGGGCCGGGGCCGGGACCCGGGACGCCCGCTTTCTCCGCTCTCTGCTGCCCCCCTGCGACCGCCCGGCAGGTGACGGTCCCCGGCAGCCGCGGCGAGGAAGCCGGTCGGGGCAGGAGTCACGTTACCTCCGCTTAACCTTCCCAAGGGCGTCAGCGCTCCCGGGCCGGGGGGGGGGCGCCGGGCCCGAGGGCACAGGGATTCCCTCGGGGGTGGAAGCAGCGAAAGTGGGGAGAAACCCGGCTGCGTTGAGACGAGGCGCAGACCAGACCCCGCCGGGGCGCAAACCCCCCCGCGGCCGAGCTGCTGAGGGAGAAGGGGAGGGGGGCGCGCACCCGAAGGAACTTCATGGCCACGAGGCGGAACCCCTTCTGCTCGAAGCGCTTGATGATGTCGCCCACCAGGCCTCGCTGCACGCCGTCCGGCTTGATGGCGATGAAGGTGCGCTCCGTGTTGGCCATGGTCCTGCGGGCGAGCGGGCGGGTCAGGGCCCGGAGGCCACGCCGACACCGG